GTGGACCGTTTCCTCACGCCGGGTACGATTCACCAAACTGCCCGCCATTTACTGACACAGCATAGACGCGCAGTGGTGCCACTTTCGCCTCCTTCTTCCAAGAGGCCAACTTCTCCATCGCGACCCCCCTCCTCGCCGCTCTCTCTGTGGAATCGGATGGCCAAAGGGATGAAGAAGAGGGCGACGACCAACGACCAACAAACCCCGACCCTTATTCACCAGACGTGGACGAGACGCCCCCTCCGCTGAAGAAACTGAGGTTGGACCCCGCTCAGCAGCAGCCAAAGCTGACTGGCTCCCACCAGCGCCGCCGCAGAAAACGGGAGACGGAGATTATTGAGAACGGACACCACCCGCGGTCGGCCACGGCAGCGAAATTCGTCCACCCTGCCCAACGTATTGAGGCCGATATCTCAGCAAGCTCCCTCCCTGCAGCCCACGGCGCCTATTCGGCCAAACGCGAAAGCTCAGACGAGCTATCCGGCAAGAAATCGAGGAAAACCAAGGAGCAACTGCTCCAGCAGGGATTCCAGCTCATCCCCTGGGACGGAATGTGCGTCTTTCTTGTTTTTTTTTGCCACTTCTAATACCTTATAGGGATCCGCGTCCCTTAGTTGACTCCGCTGGTCGAATCTTCGCCGTTCTGTCTGGTCAACCTAGAAGCAGCAGCTATGCCACCTCCGCCAACTCGGTGTATGAGGCTGTGGCTCGGGCAGCCCGGCGAGCAGCGATTTCCGTCCCCACCGCTGGCCACAGGCGAGGACTCTTCGCCGCGGTCACTGTCGGAATATCTTATGGCCAAGGCCAAACCGTTCCCGCCTGGTTGGACGACAAGCACCCCGAAATTTCAGAAGATTTACTGCACGATCCCCATGTGGCTAGGATGGTGGCCTTCGGCGACGGTATGTTTAGAGACGGGCTCATTCACATTCTGATGCCATTTTCAGCCGCGTTTTCTCTCTGGGCTCCTAGATTGTATGCATATTATCAAGATAATAGCAAGCTACTCCATGAACAACTGCCTTTCCCTACGAAAAGCCTTCCCGAAGTCGGTCTTCTCCAGCGTGGCCTTCAACCTGGGCACGAATGTCTGGACGTTTCGCCACCGAGATATTCTCAACCTGGCCTTTGGCTGGTGCGCCATATATACGCGCTGGGTCGCTTTGACCCGAAGAAGGGCGGACACCTCGTTCTCTGGGACCTCAAACTGATCATTGAATTTCCAGCAGGCTCGTTAATCCTCATTCCCTCGGCCACTGTCTCTCACTCTAATATCCCGGTACAAGAAGGAGATGTTCGAGCTTCCTTCACACAATTTACAGCTGGAGGCCTCTTTAGATTTGTCCAGAATGGCTTTCGAACCGAGAAGCAATTGTTGAAGCAAGACCCAGCAGCTTACTCCGCTATGCTTTCGGCCAAGGGAGCGAGATGGGAAATGGGCCTAGGACTATGGAGTAATGTAGACGAACTGTTAGTTGCTGTACCAGAGCCAGAGAGAGGATAGAATTTCGACAGGGTGAATTAATATCCTTAACGGCTAGAGTACTCCGACCTTTATATCCTTAACGGACGTGAGGCTATCTGCCACCGTTTTGCTTACTGTGCTAGAAGTCCATAGTAGAGAGAACTAGGCTTAGGTACACAGATGCTATAGCATGTAATGCATCCATCCCAAGCCATTTCTCTGCGGCGGCAGCCACCAGAGGTATCAAGAGTTCGGTTCTTGATCATTCATCCATTGAAGACATGGCACTTGGGTCTAAGATGTCATGGAGTGCTTGGTTGAGTTGGAAACTTGACAAAGTGAATCTAATGTACTTAGAGAGCTATAAAATCCAACTGGCAGACCTGTCCGAGTAGTTTCATCTTTTATGAACAAGCGATTTGGTTAGAAGTGGAATCGTTTGGACACATGGGTCCCACCGGGTTATCAAACCACATAACAGTAGTGTTAGCTTGTGGTTTTCACAAATTGTTCATAGACATGACCGGCGTACCTTTAGGCTGTTTATTGGCCTCCAAACGTGTTCTCTGCGAAGATCGACCGTGACGACATTGTGATGGCCATCCCGCTCATATCTCTACACCAAGTCATATATCGGGCTTAAAACTTGGCATGAATATGTATTGACCTGCCCCACACTTCCCGCCAAAGGCGCAGAGTAATCGGTCGTCGTGATCCAACAAATGAATGTCATCACCCAAAGAAGGAAGGTGGCGCGCAACAAGTCCTACTGTTTCGTCCGCAATCGGCGCCAGTACGGCTGCGATATCGGTGAATCGTATGAGCGCACAGCCGGTTACGGTCTGGATTTCTTCTCGAGACGCAGGACCTTCGACAGCTTTACCTTGCGAGTCCACAGCATGCGCGTCGGCAGTTCCAGATCGGCTCCAAACCATACCAAGTTGAGTCTCCACTTCCAGAACGAGGGCCATGCTTCAACTGCCTCTAGCTCTGGCACGCACTTATGTTGGGCAATGAGACCCATGAGCTCCCACACTATCGCATACTCTGTCTGTCGGGCGGCCCAGATGGCGTTCGGAATTTTCGAGTCAGCATCAAAGCCTGGTTCGTTTCTCTTCGAGCGGAGCGGTTGCTCGGGCATGTTTGAGGAGTTCAAGTAGGATTGAAACCATGGCCACACTGAAGTCCAGGGAGTCCCCGAAATTTTTTGGCGCCGAAGTTCTCAGTCGGCTGTATTCTGCATAGAATAAATGAAGGCGAGTATTGAACGGGGAATTCTAGGAAACAGCAGCTGAATTATGGCACTTCTATAGCTGTCCAATCGTATTTCTTACCCAGAGTGGCTCAGACATGAACGAAAAACTCAAGAAAGTCACTCGTCACACCATCAAATTACATAATTTGATTGGAAGACTCAACCACAAAAACTTTGAATCAGTAATTCATTGTCTGTAAGTCCATCGAATGCACCATCCACAACACCTTCATCCTCCTTGACACGCCAAACTTGAATGCTTTTGGTTATATAATTAAGGTGAGTTCGTGAACTTGCTCGAAGAATGGGATACCTTACCAAGATTTGAAGCTGCAGGCTGCAACCATGACGATTCCGGCCTGCTAAATGTACCAAATGCTTTTGGTAAAGGTGAGCTCATGCATCATGAACTTGCGCAACTGAAAAAATGGGATAGCTTACCAAGATTTGAAGCTGGCAACTGCACGCCTCTGCGGCAATAACTGCCCGAATTAGCCGACACAAATAAACAACGGCTAGCCCTACCGGAAGGTGAGGCACCTTGGATGGGGATGGGATCCTGGAGCCCGACATGGCTGGCGGTCAAGAAGAGAGTAAATGTGGTTGTGGCATCTTGGTGATTCTGACGCCATACTCATCGCTCGCAGGCCCATCTCGTCTCCGTCACTGCCCACCACACCCCGAGAAACCGCAACAGCATTGGTGAGGAAGAGCAGAAGACGCGGCATGGCATTTCCCAGAGGTTCCGCCTAGCCAGTCCGAACACAGACAAGGACGCCAGCTTTGCGACAACTAGCAGAAGCCTTGGCCACGACCCAGCATGTGCATGACAGGAGCCTAGGGCTGGTGGTTGGTGGGGAACTTGGGCGAGCAGATGACTGGCTTAGTCAGAGTCTTCCAGTTAGACTCTGACAAATCACTGATCATAATGACGCTGTGCCGTCACAGCGCCAGGACTTTCACCCCAACACAAGGCGGACGACAACCTAGGAAGAGAGGACGGCGGATGCGGCGGGGATCCGCGTGTCCGTACCACCGACTTCGATGTCCGGCAACTAAACAGCTCTACTCGCACTTGCGCTTAGAACCATTTGCTGGTTTGAACATCCAACTCGACGAGCCCTTCAATCAGCGCGTGGCTTGAAGTCTACAGCTCTCCCGCCTTCATGACGCCCCACGTGATGAGGTCGCGCGTTCGAACCTTACCTATTTTTTTTATTTATTTCATTTTCTTTGGCTTCCGGCGCACCGTGGGAGCTACCCTGACCACCAAACATCGTATTACTTTGTGTAGTGGTAGAGTTGTAGAGATGTGACCTCTGTTCTCGTGAAGCCCCGTGTTCGATTCCTGGCTTTTTATCTTTTTCAATTCTCCGACGCCATCACGTGCCCATCACAGCGCGACCTGTCACACTCCCGTTACGGTTGTTTATTCTACACGACATGGACTCCTCAGACACCGAGAACATTCCCCCAGCCCTGTCACGCTGTACAGGGACAAATTGCTCGTATGCTCCAGAGCCGGGCAGACAGAAATGTGCCCGGTGTCTAGAGCAAAACCGACAGGCATCAAAGAAGCGCCGGGAACTTGCGAAGAAGCAGAAGAAGGCCGACGGCCCGTCACCGCGGAAGAAGCAGAAGACCGACGGCCCGCAAGCTGGCACTGCCCACATCCACGTGCATGAATCTGACACCGAGTCAGAGCCCGAGGACATGGACTCAGCGACGGAAGGAGACCAGACAAGTTACGAGGTACTATGCTGACATTCTAACCTTAAACAAGACTGATGTGAAGATACAGGAGTTTGGAACTCTACAAGCCTTGTTCTCAGGTCTTCGGCAACGCGTCAAAGAAGTTCCCCGCGACCTTCATTTCAAGGCAAAGGTGTCACTCACTGAAGATGCCGAATCAGACCCCCCGCGAACGCGTCAAGGCAGCGGCAATGGATGCTTGGAAAGCATCAGGCTTCCGTTTTACGTGCGTCCCCACGTCTTGTTAAGATCTTCACTCACGGTCGGACAGTGTCCATCGACATAAGCAATTGAAAACTGGCCACTCAACAATCTACTGGTGTTCACAAGATCGAGGACGGAAGAAACAGTCGAAGCCAACAACCAAACCAGATGCCAAGCATCGCGAAACCCCTGGGATGAACAGATACCCTTGCAAAAGTCGGCTCGCAATTGCATGCCATCGGGGGCGGGAACGCGGACGGCCGGCTCAATCTATACATCAACTTCAAGCATGCCATCCGACACATGGCTTACCGTGATACTTCGATGCCAGCTGACGCCATCGAGTTCATTCACAACACCCAGGATGGTGTATCACCATCTGATCTCGCCGACACGGTGACTGAACTCTTCAAAAATGTGTCGCGCGCGCAAGCGCTGAACATCTGGCGCGAGAAGATGGAGAAGTACTACAAGAGAGACGAGAATCAACTCAAATCGGCGGCCATATTACTGCGAGAATTCGGCGACGACGTCGATATTTTTGAGCCAGTAGGAGTTCCAGCGGATGTCGAGGTTCTGGCGTGGGGAATGAAGAAGATTGCCGGGCCTCTGCGCGCGGAATCGTTGAGGAGACGGCGATGGATGCAACATGTATGTGTATCAATTCAACTGCACCAAATCCGACTATTGATAATTTGTAGATAACACAAATTCTCGAAATCTCGAGTTGTATGCCATTATGGGCGAGCTGGACAATGCCGGCTTTCCGTTGGCTTACTGTCTGATGTCAACGGCGACGTCAATCAGTCCAGACAAGCGCAAGAAAACGCTCACCGCCTTCCTGTCATGCGCAAAGGCCCGTTATGGCCTCCAACCGAAATTTGCTCACGTCGACAAGGACATGGGCGAAATAAGTGCACTGAGAGCAATTTAGCCACATGCCAAGATCTCCATCTGCTGGTGGCATGTCGACGATGCGGTCGGAAAGCGCCTGAAATCATCAAAGCTCTCGACGACACGGTATAAGCCCGCCAAAGCGCGTGAAGAGTTTAGCTTCATCGCCCTTGATTTCATTCCCACTAGCAAGGCTGACAAGGATGAGTATGAAGGCGGGAAACCAGACGATTTGTCTGACGATGAAGACGACACACCGCCTGACCTAACACACAACCCATCCCGACTCACCTTCAAGTTGCCAGCACCCCAGCCCTCTCTGCCGCGGCGTACAGATGCCCATGGCATTCCCATAATCCGCCTCCCTCCGGGTCCCTTTGTCGAGATATATGGCCAGAGCGACTCAGATAGCGATGACGACTTTGAAGACTCAGAAGACGAAGTTGCCGATGAGCTTGAGGTGGTCGGCCAGAAGCGGAAGAGAACGTCAAAGCGTCCGTTCTGCCCAATAGAGCTCCAGTCCCGAGTCCTTCAGATGATGAAGGAACATTCACATGTCCACGCGCTAATCCCTGGCTACTGCCATCCCAGCGCCGACGGCATACGCTACTGGGCTGTGAAGCAGATGTACGATCTTTGTGTCGCCAATGACTTGCGAGAGGTCTGGGCTTACCTCTGGGGGAACTGGTACAGGAAAGGGCGATGGGAGCTATGGGTCCGTTCCGCGCATCCCACCATTCCACGACTCCGAACGACTATGATCTGCGAGAGCCAGTCAGTGTATTTCTCGTCAAGTTCTGCATGATACTGACATTTCTATAGCTGGCGCAAACTTAAGCAAGATTATCTTCATGAATATCATTCTCCCCGACTGGATTTACTAGTATGGATCATCTTGACGAAGCTTTGCAAGACATACACCACAAAACTCACCAAATTCCTCACCCCTAGCTGCCGGACACGCATGTCCGAGCTTCCGTCATGGCGCGACACCTTCCGCAAGACATGGCGAAGCCTCGAGAAACGCGACATCTCTGACCGAGTCCATGACACCTACCGGCCCGACGTCAATCGCTGGGTGTGCTCGTGCCCAGCATTTCTCGTCAGCCGGTTCCTTCTCTGCAAACACCTTGTCCAACGCGTTCAAGTGGTCCCAGCCACATTTTTCCGCGAGGTGAAGCGGCGCCATACGGTACCATTCTGGCAACACCCGGCCTTGATTTCATTGCACGACGGCAACGATGGGCCTGCTCTCCAGGCTCTCGGCGCCGATCTTCCGCAAGATCTTGACGTTCCAGAAGACGAGGACGAGGATGATGATCAAGAGCCGGCGGTCTACATCGAGACAGCGGCCGATAGGGAGTTTGACGCGTCAGCGGCAACATTCGAGGCCGAGTTTGACAGAGAAATTCAGCGGGTGGAAGAGTTCTTGGCAGGCCTGAAGTACCAGAAGCAGTTCCGGGACCGCCGTATGCTAGATGCGCTGCAGAAGAAGGGCAGTGGCTTCTTCCGATTGGCGCAGGCTTGTCTTGTCAAAGAGAGAAAAGCCCAGAGCACATCTGGACAAGCAGCGCAGACATGGGACCCTCAGCTAGCAGATGCGATGTATTATCGGCCCCGACCACGCGTCGCAGAGCGTGAAACATAGTTCATTCACCAGAAATACATGTATTTGTCACGAAATAATATTTACTGCCGGCCGGGCTCGAACGGGGCCCCGGCCGGCGCATCACGTGGGGCGTCATGAAGGCGGGAGAGCTGACGGTGTCGCGTGGCTTCGCGTCGCTATGTGAAGCTTAGCGATGAATATTTTGAGCTCTGGTCCCCGAATGAGTCGGTGAAAGAGTTTCTAGCTGGGCTACCGCACCCTATAAACCGTCTCCGTATGGAAACTAACGACGATTCGACAGCTCCTGGGGACGCTTTGACTACATTCATCATCCACAGTATCTCGGTTCCAACCCTCCTTTCATCCCCTATATCCGTCGCGCTTATACTATCAAGAAAAACGACTACTTATAATTATACATCGTATATGCCCCACTCATGGATTTCTGGGAGAAGTCGACGAATCACCTAGGACGGCTTACCGCCAAGGGTATTCAACTTCTCCAGCAAGTCGTGAAAGCAATGCAAGGCACAATTCAAGCGTTGCTCCGAGTCAAGAAATCTACTACAACGAAGGAGGCTTTTTTCATGCGTTCTACCACCTACAACGGATATGTTGGAGAATTTGTCCCGTATTCGGTGGTGGGACGACGTCTTGGATGATTTTACGACTGTCCAAAGGCATTTACGACTTGCCAATGCTTGGATCAATTGGGTCAATAAGGAACTTTCAACCGAATCAAGTCATCAATTATTGGTTTTTCGAGCGCGATGGGTGAATGGAATGCCTGCTGAACGTATCCGCCGGCTGCTTCTAGCAGGAATCCCATGTTTTATCGTTGCCGCAGTCAATCAAGATGACTTGCCGGCGAAAGGGCCCATTTTAACTTCTTTCTTGAGCAACACCAAAGCGGAACGTCTCTTGGACCGTAACAACCCATACATGAAGTTTGCCAGGCAAGCAAAAGGCTTTCGGGTCGGGCGAACCAAGCTCTCGAGTGCTCTATGTACTGACGCCGCAGGCTTTCGATGGGGATAAAATGCATAGGGCTTGCTCGCTCTATCGCCCTCCCGGCCCTCCCCCGGTCAAACTTCCTAATTGTCCAAAAAAGATACAAGTCACGGATCAACCACTCATTCCAACCAGTTCGCTACTCATTCCAACCAGTCGGCCATCTCTTTCCCACCATGCTCCAGGTACCCATGGCCATGGCCAAACGGCTTCGATGATTATTGACCAACTCCAACAGAACATGAGTGCGGCCGAGAATTGGGATTAAACTCTGACCTACGTCATTATACAACTTGGCCTTACGAGCTCTCTCGATGCTGTTCCGAATAGCCGCCCCGTGCATCGTTAATGGCGATCGAAGTCTTGGATTGCTTCTGTCATTCGCTACAGTGCTCTAGGATCACGTCGATTACGTGATGGTGCTATCCAACGCATTCGTCCAGACGATTTTCTTCCCAACACTGCCCTCATGATCACTGTACATGTTCGGCGCCCTGGCATCTGCCAGTGCATGTCATGCCATCTAAGCCATGTTGCACTGATCGATGCGGTCAACGCAATTGTCACAACTCGAGCCAAACCACCATGAGGCATCTGCGTCCCCCTTCCCTCTTAAAGGTCTTGAACGCGATTCAGCTAGCCCTCGGTCCGTTGTTCTTGACTAGATCTTCCGATGAGCTACTGATTTTCATAATAGTCTTTGTCTGGCAATGGATCTTCTTTCAGGCGACAGCAACGTCCAACGTTTTGTGTGGGATCTTGCTCCAAGTTGAAGACGGCCGCGAAACCCCCGAAATCAAGACAATCTCTCCAGCCTTCAACGTTGCCCGCGACCTGGCTTGCGATGTTCTCGTAGGTTGCTTGACTTGCTTCAATCTCCGAGCAGCCATTGTGTCGGGCTCTCTTCTCGACCTCGTCCGCGGTCATAGGCAAATGGGAGTCATTACAAGGGACCATCATGAAATCATTCGCCTACTCGACAAGCGCATTCGTTTCCTCGCATTAGCTGCCGCACCCCCTTTTTGCCGAGTGGGAGTCCTATGATCCTCGTTCCATCGGTGTCCTTCGACTGGCTTTGTGCTATCAATACGCCGTTCTCGAGAAAGCCAGGCAAAATGTAAACTTAGTACTACGAAAGCTCTCTCCCGCTTCCACCTTGCCCAACGAAATCTGGCTCCAAATATTCCAAGCTCTATACACAAGGGAAAGGGGTGGTAGAACAAGCCTCGACATCTGGAATATCGAACAAGTTTCGTCTCATTTTAGGTCCCTCGCGCACGCCTAGTCTTCGTCGCTCCTTGTGTGTAACTGCACTGCCACATGACTGGGCTCAAGCCTTGCTACTTGATAGCATATCCTGCTTGGCGACCGAAATTCCAGTCTCTCTTGAGACATATGACGTGCGACATGGGTGCCGATACGTCTGGGGTCCCAATATCCAAAGTCCTCCAGCGCTATTATACGCTCTTCTTAAGGAATGCGTACCAATTCTGGGGCAATGTGTTTCTATCGATGGATTCAGCGATGCCGAGTTCGTCGATGTGAACGGCGGTTATACCACTATCCATTTACCACGCCTCAAACGTCTTGGTATCAGAGCCAGCCCCGGATCGTCGAGCATCACAATTGATGCACCGTTGCTCCAAACTGTCTCATTGTACAGTTGGTGGCCCGAGCGCTCTATCTGCAAGCTTTCCCTCCCTTTTGCTCAGCTAACAGATCTCTCCCTATACGGGGTGTCTTGAAAGAAACATATCAAGTCCTACAACTCATCGACGTTGGGAGGCTCACATCCCTTAAACTTCATATCTATAATCTCGGTGAAGAACACCCCATGGAATTCCCTCGTCTCCCTCCCTTATCGTCACTTACCGTATTCGAATGCAGAGGTCGGCGTTCCGCCGGCATGGAACATTCCTCTTCTGGAAGCGCTTCGTCTGCCGCAGGTGAAAGAAGTCAGCTTCACTTTCCGCCATGGCGTTGCAGCCTCCAATACGGAACAAACATGTGTGCGAGTCCTTGATTTGGTTCATCTGGCTCCATGGGACGCGGTGCAAATCCTTACTCTAACTTTGAACTTCGACGATCTTCAAGCATGGGGACTCATAGCAGTTTCCCAGCGTATGCATAACGTCCGCAGTTTAACAATCATCTGTGATAGGTGCTGGGATGAAGCTTTCATGCTGCTCTCTGACCCAGGTTGTTTTCCGAAACTAAGGGGACTGGTCTTTGACGCGGACAGCCTTTTATATGGGCGCAATATGATGCTCATTCATTCCGGAATTGCAGCACAACATTTCCAACCTGTAGTGGAGTTTTTTGCGATCACGGGCGCACCAAGATAGGGCGCTTGATGAATTCACCCTTCGTTATGGCTACCCTTGGGACTTTCCCAAGAGCCAGATAGAAGAAATCCTGCGATTGGCACTTAACTGCGCACGAGGGCGGTGCAGGGTTCTGCTGGAGGCATCTTCTTGGAGATTTGACTCCATGCCTCCGGCTCATATATGGGCCTACAATTGTCTTGAATGGAGTAAGGAGGATGAATTGTTGGAGGAATATTAATCTGTTGTCTCTATATAGTTCTAGGCCAAATAACATTTGAGTTATATATGTGTGTAGTCGAAGGAAATAGTGATATAATGGTTGAGCTGCGGTAGCTTACGGCGTTTGCGGCGCAACGCAACGCAACGCAACGCGCCATGAGCTCGAGGACATGGGTGCGAAAGGAGCTCTGAGGCGGCACGAGAGAGCTCGCGGCGGGGCAGACGGTTTGTTGGCGCAGAGGGCGCCCAACAGTGATGTGCTGGCCTTCTGCACCGACGCCCGACGGGTTCACTGGCGGGGCGGAAGACGCTGGCTGCTTGTCCCATCATACTGGGCACACCAGGTGCGTGGCAAGCGCTCATTTTCTCCGTTCTTGTGCTTATTATAGGACAGTTCCAGCTTATCCTTGGAGATTATTTCGCTGTCTATGACCTGGCAAACGAGACGGCCGAGGAAGCAGCGGCCCTTGTCAGCTGGCTCAATAACCATGGCAAGGTCCGCAAAATCTTCGACGCGTCGCAGGAGGAGACCAACGGCAAGGCTCTCGCTTACATCCCCGTAAACATGACGCGCTGGACGACACACTACCTCTCGATGGCCCGCACAGACTCGATCAAGCAACCTCTCCGGCTCGCATCGCTCAAGTCGCACGATAAGATCATTGAAGCGCAAGTCGGGCGGCGAAATCGACTGTGGCGGCCAACCTGCATGCAGGGAACGTCAAGAAGCTCCTCGAGGTACCACGCTATGCAGAGCTGCTTGCTGACCAAGATGATGAGGACGAGTCTGAGCAGGGTCGGATGCTTGTCGAGGGACGAGACTCACGAGAGGGCTGGCGGACCGACTTTGCTCGGTGGACGGGGTAGCGTCAGGCGGAGGATGCTGCGATTGCAGAGGCGGCGTCGGACGAGTCGGAGGATGAGTTGCCGCTGCCGCGTGTGCGGACTCGTCTGCCTGCTCCAAAACCGACTCGTTTGGGCCTCGAGACAAGAACGCCGAAGGAGCGTGTGGGGAGGACACAAGTGCGAGTAAGATACCGCACAGCAGTGTACATCAGCTCAACATATACTCGCTGTTCGCGACGGGCCAACTCTCCTTCGCTGCACTCAAGAGGCATATTTCTCGTCGACATTGTCGCAACAAGGAGGGAATAGTGGCACTGGTCGTGTACTCCTGTCGTCAATTCCGACCTCGGAGACGTTGTCCGTAACGCCGATGTCAATGAGTGGAATGAAGTATTTGTTTTACTGTGCACAGAAACGCTGAATTTGAGAGCTCTCAGCTTGGCGGAAGAACTGGGAGGTCAACCTTTTGTAGTTTTTCAGACTGGTCTGATGCATACAACTTGCTTCAGTTCTTTACTCACAGAATGTCAGGCGAGCGTCTTTTGCATGCCAGCGCTTTGCATGTCATCACTGCAGCCTACCACAAGTAACCTCTTTCCGTTGGCCGACCAAATTGCTTTCACCATTCTCTTCACT